GAGAAGTTATATGTGATTAATACAAGTATATATATATATATATCTCTCCCCTATATATATATATATATAAGTAATAGATTATAAATGATTACTAATAACTACCAATAAAAAGAGATGACACCAAACTCACACTCCCCTTCTATTGATAATTAGTTGGTGCATACGTGTTTTGTATGTAGATCATTTTGAATGTCAAATGTTACATGTTAGAGTTGTAAATATTATGAAACGATATCAACCACACAACAATGATACTTACAAGAGCTTTTACATAATGAAGTCTTTAATCTAAGATCCTACAAACAATTAGCACACAACCAACTTAAGAAATGATCCACGTTACATATAGGAAGAAAGACAAAAATTATACCAAGAAATAAAATGATTAATGACATATACGATCAAGTCATTATGAAAATCTAAATGGCTTTGGGGATATAATCAAAATATTAGAGATGATAAAAGGCTTTAGGGATATCACTGTCATTCTAGGTGAAGACTTTCGACAAATCTTGTATATTATATTAAAACGAGTCCGCGAGCAATTTGTGGGTGCAACATTGAAACATTCTTTGCTATGAAAAGATATACATGTTTTGACTCAATTTAAAGATAAGCTAACTCACACATATATTGGAAATGTTAATTTTGCTAAATTCTTGATGATGTCAATATTCCATTTATCTTAACTTTCATGAAATGTTTTTGAGTTAATATTTCATTTTTTGACTGATTATACTTTCACTTTTAAAATTAAGACCAATCCATAAGAAATCGTGCAACTTCTATCAACAATACACAAATGTCACAGTCTAAATAAATTTATATTTAGAATCTATCCATAATTGAATGTGGCTGGTATAGTGACTCCGAACTTTCTCACTGAACGCACAATTCTATGTGCTCACAGTGATGAGCTAGTGGTATAAATGCTACAACACTAAATATTTCTCCAAGAGAGACAATTACTTTTTTAACTGCAGATAAAATGTCTGAAGATGATGTGTTGGATCGTACTATTACAAATCAATATCCTAATGAATACTGAAACTCGTTGAATCCTTCAGGGTTACCACTGTTTAAATTGGAGTTGAAAATTGGATGTCCAATAATATTGTTGAGGAATATTGCATCAAAATTTGGACTATATAATGACATGCAATTGATAATTGTTAGATGTGCTTCAAGAGTAATCGAACCTCAGATATAAAATGGAGATAAAATTGACGATTTGATCTCCATTTCGAGAATATCCTTAACACCAATATCTTTGGACTTGCCTTTTCATATGATAAGACTTTAATTTTTTGTCCACTTAACTTATTTTATGACAATCAATAAAACACAAGGACAATCTGTCAAATTTATTGGGATTGATTTGCAGACACCTGTTTTTAGTCATGGACAACTTTATGTGGCACTACTTAAATGCACATCATCGAATCGTATTAGTGTCTTTCTCCTGAAAGATGAGTCAAATTGCATCATAAATAGTGTTTACCTTGAAGTTTTGTTATAAGATTCTTACAATAAGTAAATAGTATAGTTTAAACAAATTTATTTCTACTGATTACATAACCTTTGTGGAATTGGAGTAAAGTTGCTAGAAAGATAGATAGAATATATACAATTATTGATGGAGCCGTAATAATCAGGTAACTTTACTCTTACATCACTATATCAAAATAACTTAAATATTTCTACAAATTATATATTGTGTTAATTTGATTGTTTATTCGAATATTTAGGTGGTTGTGCATTGTCCCAATTGGACAAAGTACGTTTGTATTGATACAAGGACATTTAGCAGAGTAATGAAGGGAAGGTTTTTTACTTGATTGAAGGATGACATTCATTTTGAGAAAACCCAAACGACGTACTCTTCTCGATCTTATCTGTTTTCAATCGGCACAATGGAACTCCCCCAAGCAATCCACTATCGAACTAACTACCTCCAACAATGATTTACCCACCATTGATCAACCTATCATCCAAGTTATCCCCTATCTTACTCCATTTCTCTATCTCTCTCTACTTCTCGTGCAAGCATATGACACACACACAATACACGCACAAACATCCACACACACGTAGCACACATGCAGAGAGAATAAGATAGAGCACACTCACAACACACGCACAGAGTACATATATCCACTACGCAACACACATAACAAACACCCATAGCACACAACACATACCCAACTTCACCCAATCGCACACTCACACACCACTACACAGCCACCAAGACATTGATTTATGGTTGAAATCATAATACAAATGAACATATTTGTTAAAATGCTATAGAGAAATACTATGTGCATCTCTTCTGCATCACGCCCAATTCGATAGGAGCTCGGTTATTTGATCGAAAGTCTTTGCAGCATAAATTCTCTACACTCCTCCATATTTTCCTAAATAAATTGGTAATTTTCTACCATCTCTCTAAATTCCTACCTATCTATCAATCTATCTAATCCTCCTCCCCTATACAGATGTGTGTGTTCTTCATTAGTTTTTTTTTGGATAATTTAGGGTAATGAGATTGATGGCATTAATTAAATTGATTCCAACTAACGAGAAAAGCAAGGGCCTGTATGTTTCGGATTTTTAATTGTTTTGTTTTGCCTCATATTTTTTGATAATTTTTATATTTCAACATTTTTAGGTATACATGAAAACATGCTTGGAGTTATTTTCTGGTGACAACACGTCTACAAGACATTAAAATCCCTCATCCCAATGAGACAATTCATTAGTGGTTGTTAGCTATAAAGAATAAGAAGTTGAAGATAGTTTTTTTTCTCTTTGTGCACGTTTGTGTCTAGTTTGCATGTGTATTGTTTTTTCTATGTTTCGTACGATGAATTAATTACCCATGGTTATGAGGATATGTTTGACTGTTGTGAATTGATGGTTGTTTTGGTGGTTGGATATGAAATGCTAATTTTGAAAAAAATAGAATTGAATTGTGATTGTGCATTATAATGATTATTATGTGTAATTCTGAGTTATGTAAACAGGTTGAAATTTCTCTGAACTCTTATTTATAGAGGAAACTTCATCGAAATTTTTGAAAAAAATAGTGGGAAATAGATTGATTTTAATTTCTTTAACTAAAGCAATGAAGGAAAAAACTATTTGAAATTAACCAGTTGTTTTAGGTTGTAAAGTGTCTTTAGGCATGCGTTAGTATTAGTATAAGAAATAATACTACAAATTATTCAGGTGATTAAGCATCGCATTGAGGTTAACAATGTCTGTTCGCAAACAATTACTAAATTACACCCCCTTTTGTTTATAGCTTCTTTTTTTTTTTTTAACTTTTTAACTGCAACAAAATCTAATGTATTGAGAGAGAGAGAGAGAGAGAGAGAGATTAAAGGCAAGTCTTTAGCCCTAAGGCCGATCCTATGTTTAGTTTAGATATAAAAAAAATACAATTAGTTTAATGGTAACTTAATATCATGTTTGTATCAAATTATAGGATCCGGTCTTATAACATGAGTCAAGACTCAAGCTTGACTTGATGCTACACTGCACTGTCAACTACGCCACATACATGGACAAAACCATTCCCATATGATGGATTTCAATCATAATTGGTATTATTAGGATCAAAATGAAGAGTGTATTTCTAACTTGCTCTTAAATGAAACTTATTATTCTATGTTAATTTTCAATCCAAACATAAGATTCATGTTACGACAATAACGATCCAAAATTTTAAAATTATATTTGTTGGTTTACTCCTTCACGAGCTTTTTTGTTGGATAAAATTATATTAAATTTTAATTTTTAACCTATATTATATTATCGACCTCTCAAATTTGGGATATCTAGAGTCTAAAGCCCATGTGTTTTTTTCATCTACTATTGAGCCGGCACTGCTCTATCTTAGCTAATGTGGAAGGGAAGAGAAGAACAAAAATCAAACTAGAGAACCTCATCTTATGGAAGTACCGGCGGTCATCTTGCGCAATGCACCAAATTTGTAATATCAGTTCATCACCACCACCACCACTGCTACTCCAACTCCACTGTCACCCATAGCCCCCATTCCATCCTAATATTATTAAAAAAAAATACATAATAATGTGCTAAATTAATATTTTATAAAAAATTAAATATAAAATTGTTAATAATGATGATAAATTCAAGTGTCATTAAAAAGTTTTAAATGGTTACATATTCAATTGAAGAAGACCAATTATATAATCCAAATTTAGGGGAGAGTAGAATTTGGAGAGGAAAAACTTCTCCAACACTCCTAAATTGATTCTTTTAGTATATAGTATAGATATAGATTCCTCTCTCACTCTCTCTCTCTCTCTCTCTCACACACACACACACAACCCCACCCACCCCACCACCACCAAACAACAGTAACTACAACCCAAAACCCAGACTTGTTATCTTCAGCTTCACCCTCTAAAGATCACAAAGCATCCATTTCCCAGTCGAATGGTTCGGTTTTCAGCTTCATGGCTTCTAATTAACTACGTGATTGGGATCATAACTCAAGCTTGGCTCTCTAGAACTCTTGAGAGAAGAAATCAGAAAAATTTTGTAGATGGTGGGTGGAGGAGGGTGATTTTACGTGAGAGGAAGAGAAAAAAAGCATAAAGTGGTGGTTCAGTCACCTACTACCACCACTCTGAATAGAGATGGCTGTTTTTAAAGTAAATTCCATGACTAAAATTGGGATATTGACCAATGGAGAGGACCCTTGAGGTTTTACTTAAAAATAATGGCTTCTAGTCGACAACATACTGGGCAAGTACAAGTGCCAAATCAAGTACCGGACAATATTTGCAAAAATCACCAAATAAATTCATAACATATTGTGCTTCCGATTCGTATCTTACGGTCTCCATTTATGGGAAAAGTGGTATTCTTCCACAGAATATAGATTTTGAGAAGACAATCACAGATTATGAGAAAAGAGTCGGGCAAAATCATGGGTCTTTTGGTTTCACTATGAAGTTCTAGAGATCTATCTACCTTATTGAACCATCAGAAATGGATGAAACCTTGCAAACACCAGCTGATGTGGTGAATGGCACATCTTTGTAATGGGCCACCAGTTCCTTATCAGTGTGCAGATCCACTTGAACTGTTTCCCAAACCTTCTTCTTTGGGTTCAAAACATCATCAGGCTCTCCCTCAAATCCAGGAAACACTACTCTCTCCCCAACAGGAGCAGATTCCGGTGGATCAACCAATTCAACCTGAAATGGCACCAGCAACTCATTAGAATCGAACAATCAGGTTTTCCAGTAGTTCCATTAGAAACAAGCAATTGATGTCCAACACTGCAATATAACATGATAAAATCTCTCCAAACAACCGCCTATGTCTGCCCACGAAAGCCAGACAGTATTCTAAAACCAAAACATTACCAAACACCAACTCAGTAATTTTTTTTATTTCTTACCATTACTTAAAACTGTTCGAGTGCAAATTATGACGCTCCTAATTCCCATCATTAGAGGAAATGACTACTTTTTTTTCACCCTCGACACTTACAAGTGTGATGAAAAGGTGCCACCACTTTGGGAAGCGACTTAAGCACACAATAAGGGCTCCAGATGCTAATCAAAGTTTAGAAGTAGATTACTTACCTTGGAGTGATCACTATTAGAAGCAGCAAGAACCATTGCTTGGGACTTTATACCCCTCATGGCCGCTGGCTTCAGGTTGCAAAGGACACAGACCTTCCGATTCTGACCAAAAATATCATCACCGTGAACAAACCAGCAGACTAAAAGAAACATTTCAGAAAATCAAGTGTGCACGTGTGTAGTCGGAAAAAAAACACAGAACAGAAACCTGCATTTCTTCAAGAGGAATATATTTGACAAGGCCACTAACAACAGTTCGAGGCTGTTGTTCACCCACATCAATCTCTTCCACATATAAAGAATCAGCATCAGGATGTTTCTGCACTTTTTTTATAAGACCAACACGGATATCAAGTCTACTTATGGAAATCTCAGTGTCATCAGTGGCCTTTGATTTTACTTCAGGCGCCGATTTTGTTGGCCGTTCCTTCTTCCCATTTCTATCTGTCAAGAAATGGCAGGCTAAGCAACAATATGAAACATTCTTCTGTCATGCACAGATATATTTTCACATATAGCCCTTCAAGCATAGCCACTTCCGCCATAAATAGTAGAAATTTATTTTAAAAGTAACACACGAGCAGAACTTGCAGCCATAAAAAGGGTTTTGGTAGTTATTGTCACAGAAGTAATTTGGGGATGGATCTGTTTATACGTGGTGTAAAAATATGTTCATTTTAAACCCATCAATATATATATTTTTTTTGATAAGAAACAAACTCTATTATTAATGACTAAAATATGGGCTACAAAAACGGTTGAATAATGAATCCAACCACAATAATGAAAGAAACAATGAAACAAATAAGCCTATAAAACAAATGAAGCTCTCCATCCCCGCTTGAATAGCAAAAGCGGAATTCCTTTGTACTCTACAGTTACCGAAGCCCAAAAAAATGCTAAAAAATGAATACGCTCCCATAATCCCTTCACACAATCACTCTGATCTTAAAAAATTCTGGGGTTTCGTTTCCCTTCCAAATAACCCAAAACCCATCAATATGTTTTAATTGAATTAATGTTCTAAGAACCCACTCTTCTTCCATTTTTGGCCGTTCCTTTCCCTTTCCATCTGTCAAAAAAATGGCAAGTTAAGCAACAAAATAAAACATTCTTCTGCCATGGGCGGATAAATTTTGAATATAGCTCTTCAAACATAGCCACTTCCACCATAAAAGCAGAGATTTAATTATGAAAGGAACACACGATCAGAACATGCAGCCATAAAGTAGTCACTGTCACAACAAGTAATTTGGGGATGTATCTATTTACACTGTAAAAATATGTTCATTTTAAACCCATCAAAATCTTTTTATTGAGTTAATTTTTGGAACCCGATACTTAGATTAAATGAAGTTCACAAAATTTTCACACATGCCAAAAATCTAGTTAGAGATTTAGAACTGCCATTGATACCAATCAATAGGTTCGGAGTTTTACTGAAACGATCTTTAGCTAAGTAATACGAACTCATAAGATAGATACTGGTGAGCCTAAATATGCCTACCTGGCAAATGATAGAAGTATATGGCCCCAATGGTTGAATCAATAAAGATGGAAGTAACAAGGACCGTAGGAGTAACTAACTCTCCCACATCAGTTCTTAACAACTATGCCATATTATTCCTAGTTGGGATTCTTTTTCTTTTGTTTTGAAGCCTAATTTGTATCAAGGATCAAAGTTTCAGTCACCAAAGAAATGGAAACATTTCAGAAACATAACGAAAATGGATAAAAAAAATTGGGAATTTATTTACAAAACGTCCTGAAACATTGGTCAAGATAAACAAAAACATCTTGAAATACCTCCAAACATTTTAAAACACCTCAAATAATTGGAATTTCAATTCAATTACTAATTCATTTCGGACTCATTGGAAATGAAAATGTTTCGGTTGTTTCGAAGTCCAAACAAATTTTGTTCCTTGATTTGGATGTTGTTAGGATTTAACAAGCAAATTCAATTGCTAATAATATATAACAATGAGTCTTGGTGTTCTCTACGTTTTTCAGGGATCCATGGAGCCAACAAATAGTTTTTATGGTAGTGATTGGGATTATGAAATGAACCCATAGACAAGCTTTGAGAGTGCCACTGACCCTTCATCCTCCTCTCCCCTCTCTCCCTCTATAACAATGGCCCAGAAGACTCGTTATGTAACATAGAGTTCTCTAATAAAATAGTAAAGCAAAACACGTGTGCTCCATTACTACTCACTTCCACTAATAGTCCATTACTACAACATTAAAAAAAAAAAAATAGGACCTTCAAAGTGATCCAAAAGATTCAACCATCCAATATGATGACAAAGTAGGATTGAATTAAAGTCACATGAGTAATCCTTTTTTTCACCCTACTAATAAGTATGGATGATTTCTTCTTATCTTTTAAAAAAAAATATGGTACTAACAGTAACAGAGCACATTACCCAAGCAGAGACAAGTCCATGAGTTACCCAAGTGCAATAAGCAACATGGCAGTGATGGCACTGATATCACAAAGAAGAAGCTAAAATAGATTGTCCCTGATGTTCCATCTGATTTTAAGGAGGAAAACTTGTCATTGATAGAAGATGCCTGGACTGTTTGACGTATGACTAAAATATTCCATATCTATTATCAGCAACAAAGATCACCATTCTTTCAAGGAATTCTTATTTTGAATGAACCCAAAACATTAGCCCTTAGCTTGTTTCATCCCATTTAATGAGGCATTTTTCATTTTTTCGTAAGAGTTCAAGATATCCAGAGCCGCTGCTGCATGAGGTGCAACCTAATTCAAGAGAGCTGCTGCTGAAGCCCATGTTTATATGAAAATTCAGTAATAAAATTTTAACAGAAGAAAACCCTCTTTAGAATAACAATTTTGCAGAAAGGGCAATTACATTAACGGGATGTTAGGGTCCCAAATTATAACAAATGGCTCATACTTGAAATTCATGCCAACAACTGCATGCAGGCATTTTTTTTTGGCTAAGAAACAACAATTTTATTAATAACTGGAAAAAAACAACATTACAATGATCAATCAAAGGTGCACAAATCCAACCTAATGATTAGAACAATAAAACAAAAAACAAAAGACGTGACAATTGAATCCATGTTAAAGTCTGCAAGATGCCGCCCAACTTGTTGTGATACTAAATAAATGAATATTATCGAAGTCCTTTGTCACTGAAATCCAAAAAGAAGCCTAGAAATAAAGTCGATCCCATAAACCCACAACATCCTCCCATTTGGCTTCAAAGATTCTCGCATTTCTCTCCGTCCATAGGACATAGACATTAACTTAACACTATATATTCTAAAGGAAAAATGAAAGACAAGTCCAATTCAACACGATACTTAATCATGCACAGAATGAAACAAGTTGAAGAAAGAGCATTAAACATCTATAATGCACAAGAAGCAAGAAGGGAGGCGAGAGGAGGGGGGGAAGGAAAAGTTGGATCGGCAATGACTAGAACTGATCATCAGATGATCTGGAACGAGGTACAAGAATGTAACCTGAAACTTTTGTTTTTTTCAATTGTTCAGTGATCTTTGCTTCAGCTTCTGCCTTCACAATCCTATCAGCTTGACTTCCGGCAAACTTTTCTCTGAAAAACGCCACTTCTTCATCTTTCTGCAAGTTGACCAAATAAGTAGATAATCAACCAGATGCATAGGTCACATTTGGCCACAACAAAAAAGCACAATTCACAGCTAATGAACAACATGTGGTGCAAACTCAATGAAGTCTGTACCAATTCCTTAAATAATGGTGCTGGTGTTCCAATTTTGTGACCGGAAGGTAAAAACTCCCATGGTCTCTTGGCCCTTTCAACATTTCCTCTTTCATCAGAAAGTGAAACTTGCATTTCAAGAGGCAAATTGAGCTGCTTAAGTACCTAAAAGGCATTGAAACAAGAGCATCATCACATAAAAGGAAACGACAGCTCCTGAGAAAAGTCATGGCTAAAGTTTCAAAATGCTACACTCAAGTTGCATACCTCAATTTGTTCCCAAAAAAAAAAAAGTTGCATACCTCAACAGTAAAAGATGGCATAAAAGGTTCTAACAGACATGCGAGAAGATAAACTAGTCCAGTTGAAGTCTTCATAACTATTGAACAGGAAGGTTGGTCTTCCTTGTAAAGCCTCCAGAATTGGCTCTCCTACAAAGCAGATTTGAAGTATAATTTATCTTAAGCATGGATAAAAAGATAACCACAAGTCCCCCTCCACATTCTTGAAATAAAACAGAACCCTTTTTCTGTTTATCATTTGCAAAATAATGTAAATAAAAAAACACTCAAATCTGAGAGCTGTAAAAACTATAGCAGGCTTACTTGCAAATATGCATTTCCTTCACTAGAAATACTCATTGCAGTCTTCAATCCTTGCTTTAATTTAACCTATATGAAATAGCAAAAAAGAATGTGAGAAGTAAACAAATGAAGAGCAGTGATCCATGCCTACAACAATACAATGCTTGCAAGTATGGCTTCATTCACCTTCTCCATGGCTTCTACATATTGCTCCACGTATTTGCCAACTACTTCTCCCAGTGCCTTTGTTAAGGGATGTGATTCTGCACCTGGAGCATCAGGAATTATGGATTGATATCCGGAACCTTTGCCAGTTTCTGAACCTGTCCATATGCATTAAAAAATGCTTTTGAATATGCTATGACAAGGATGAAAATAATCAAGACTACACAAGGTCGCATTAGCCTGGCACACGGGCAAATTTGACAACCCTTCAAACCTCCTCCTCTCTCAAAAAAAGAAAAAACTGAAGCAAACAGAATATGCATAAGAAACAAATAAAACATCATATAAATGATTTGCTGTGTAATTAACATTTTTTTGGCACAGGATGTTCCATTAAATTCACAATGGAATAATTCGAACACTTTCTATTCTACGTTGGTAGCGGAAATGAAAATCAGAGTCATTAATTTTTGTCTAGTACATGACTCCCTTAAATTACAGCAATACACATGTTTTAACTAGACAACCATAATAATCTGTTTTTTTAATGACTTTTAAATTTAAGCTCGGTAAAATACATGATTTAACAGCTTATTACACTATGTTAATTGATAATTGTTCTTATTGCTACTCATCTAAATCTAATATATTCAATGATTCATTTACCTAGAATAGGAATCAAGGGGAATTAATAGGTCATTTCCGAAAAATATCATTATTAAGTATAAGCTCAGTATAAGTACATACAACGAAACCAATCATAATGACACATGAAATATATTTTATAGATATATAAACCGTCAATGAAGGAAAAACAGTTAAAATCGTCGCTAGAGAAATTAAAACATTAGAGAACCCCTTATAGGTAGCAGTGGGTTGTTGCATCACCAAGAAAGAAAATAAAGCACAGAGAAAAATAGTATGTGGGTAGCGGGTGGCTTTGCATCACCAAGAAAGAAAAGACAGAACAGAGGAAAAAAGAACATCACATTAAGCAAAAAGAAGTTTCCAAACCACATTAAGGACAAATGAATTTAAGCGAATGATTCCTAACCAGCGTAAATTGTCTTATGTAGAGATTAAAAAAAAGGCGGCAGCATAAATAGTGTTATATAGAGATAAAAAAAAGGTGGCAACAATCAAAGACAAACACAAACTATTTTTCCAAATCCAAAGACTTCATTTCACACAATGAGCTGACTAACCTGGATCTTTAGCAATAAAGCTCAATACTCGATTGACAAAATTGCCTAAATTATTAAGCAACTCGCTGTTCAATTTTGCTTGCAAATCCGTCCATGTAAACAACGTATCTGATACCTGGCTATAGCAAACCCATCAGTATTAGCAATGGAAGAATAGACCATCTAATTTTCTACTTTTCTTTCAGTGTTAAGAGAGAGAGAGAGAGAGAGAGAGATTTGATACACAACAATGTCAAACCAAGTAACAGGAAACTACCTCTGGCCTGTTAGTTAGTAAGTAATATCTCCATACGGCTGCAGGAATGTTTGTGTCTTTTGCATCATTTCCAAAAACTCCTATGCCCTTGCTCTTAGAGAACTTCCCTGCACACAACAACCAACATGACAGTAAAATAAGTCAAGATATTCCAGAGCAAAAAGCATTACCAATTCTTGAAAGGGGATGGGTACTCATATTACTTGTTCACCCAAAGATATTATCTTTCAGCCGCATTTGTTTGTTGGCCGAATTGAACTAAATTTTCCACTAACCTGCTTCATAATTCAAATATTCAGTAACACTAATAGTCTTCATCAAAGTCCAATTTTCTCCCGTTCCAAGAAGCGTAGATGGAAACATCACCTTGAAAAAATTTACAATGACAGTTAATGAATTTAAGATTTGCACCAAGGCAGACACAACAACCTATTAAAAGACCCATCTCAAAAAGAAAATTTGACAGTTACTGTAAAGATAATTCAAAAAAGAAAAATATTCTAAATAAGTTAAAAGCATAAAGCATAAAGGCATAGGCCACTAAACTCCATTGGAGAAAAGCGAAGAAAAGAAGCATAACAAGGTGTTCTTAGCATTCTAGGTGCATCGCCAACACAAATTTCATTTGGAAGAATTCTCATAATAATGTTGCCTTTAGCAGCTTAAATCTTTGATCAGACAACTCATACCTCAACACATATGGCACAAAATTAATCAGGCTAAGTTCATGCAAGCAAACAGAATATCAGCTTCTAAGCTGAGTCATAAAAGCACACAACGCTTCTCATGCAATTTCTGACTAAGAAATAAAACCAAGTGAGCACCTTTTGGGTTGGTCTAATTGTGTTACAGGTCATAGTTGTGTCTACACTATCAAAACCGATTGAAAAATGAGACGTGCTTATATCTCACGGCATGCCTGTTTGACCCAAAGCGGCCCATTTGAAATACACGTTACAAACCACTTACATCCCAATCCAAAAAAAAAAAAGTAGGACAAAAACTTGGGGGCATCTAGGGCCATTTCTAGTAGAGTGGATTGATTGTGGAACCCACCCTCCCTCCAGAAGGGAAATGACTGTGTGGGAGCTGAGAGCCCTCCTAAGGTAGAAAATAAAATTTTGATTTCTATAAGTCTCCTCTAGGTAGCCAAGTCACCTAAGATGAGTTTGCTGTCTTGAGATCACTCAAGCAACTCTATCCTCTCGCATTTTGCCGACTACCTTAGCAATAGATCTAAGAGTCAAAAAATTTGCAAATGCAAACAACACATATTTTTTCAAGGTGATGCTCTTCTTTTTGTTACCATTCTTATATAAAATAGAAACTCAAACTCAAAGAAAAGATCACAGGGCTTCCCATTAACCTCCAGAAAATGATTCTATGAGAACCAGTCAATTTAGGAAGATTCTTAAAAGTTTTCTTCCCCTTTTTTTACAGGTATATTCTTGCAGGGTTGAGAAAAAGGTTAAGTTGTTTCGGTAATGGTGTCAAGCCAACCTACAATATTTATATTTGTGTGTTGATTTATTTACTGTTTTCTACAGGTGTTATTCCAATATACTTTCTATCACAGCAATCAATATTTGGTGGCCTCATTAGGACCCAAAATCAAGTTGGTTCCCAGACTAAGGGGGATGATTTCCAAGCTAAATGAAGAACAACTCCATTATTACCAATCAAATTGCAGTCGCATACCCATGAGAGGGATTTGGGGGAATTTCTAACAGTATAGAGATATCTTCCCTTTAACTTGGCTCCTATCTCAGCTTCATTTCGTGAACAATTTCTCGATATTCCTTAATTTTTTTCTTATGAGTGAATTCTTCATCTATTTTAATACCAACTCTTTCCGTTTCAATACTTTTTGAAACAGGTTTACTTTTCAACACTTACTATTTTATTGTTTCTTCCATTAATTTATTTTTATCTGAACTCATTCACAATCTTCCAAAAACCATAGCAGCAATCTTCAGGAAATGTTTTCCTGATCAAATTATTTCCATAGAAAGCTTTACAACTGCACAACGCCTAAAAGCAACTCCCCCAATAATTCTACCCCAAAAAATGACTTCCTAATGAAACATCGGATACATTAACCATACCAAAAGAAATTTAACACAGTAATGAGAAACTTAGACCCCAAGCTCTGGTCCCACAATTATTTTAAAGAGAACAATAGAGAAAACGACAAAACATGGTCATACACAGTAGCATGCCACAAATAAAACTAAAATATTTTCCATCAGGCATTCATCAACCTTGAAATGTGACACAGCTATAAGAAACAAGTTAGTAAAACCAGATAAGTCTCACCAACATGCATGACCTAGATTTACTTCATATTCTTTATTGAACTTCTATAGCAAAATGAAAAACATCTCTCATCCCTCACCAGGGATCAAAATGCATCTACTGGCTTAGAGCTAATTGTGATGGTTATCATAGGAGAACCATGTCATCTGCAAAATGCGAGAGGCAATAGCTTAAATTGGATTTACTTTGGCGTACAAAAAGCTGTACAATATTGCCATGCAGTTCACATCAAAGCCTCCATAAAGAGGTGAGCTATTTTGAAGTAAGGCTAAACACCCATATTCCAGGACCATAAAGAAAGACATCTAGTACTCAATCAAATTCTTCCAATATTTTGGTACTTTGAATTTGAGATTATTTTTCTTTCCTTTCTTGTTTCTGCAGGCTGATAAAGGGGGAGTTGATTTAGTCAAATTGTGAAGGTGATTTCCCAGTTTGGCTCAACTGCAAAGTCCTGATATATATGGCATGCAATCTCCTTCATTCCCCAGTCTGACCTGAATAAGATCTCCAATTTTCTATGGATTAGTATATTAATATCNATATATGGCATGCAATCTCCTTCATTCCCCAGTCTGACCTGAATAAGATCTCCAATTTTCTATGGATTAGTATATTAATATCGGTAGCTGATACTGTTATGCACCTTCACCCTGCTGCCACAAATTAATAAGTGAGGAAAACTTTATCTAGGACTCGGCCTCCTGATTCCAAGCTCTAAATATATAAGAACAGAAAATAATTCTTGGCACAGGCAATGCTTTTGTAAAGAGCAGCTTCATGCACAAGGCTCTAGCTACTACGGGGTTTGAGGAGCATAAAATGTAGGCAGCCCAATTGGCAATGATCTTGTATGCCATGAAAATAACCTATATCCAGAGATCATCATGCAGCTCTTTCCTCTGGAATCAAGATGCAACAAAAGATACATCCATGCTAAGAGAACGAATCTTTTTTATTGGAAAACTCATACTCTTGACACGAGCTCCCTTTTACTACATCCAATTCAAATTAAGTTTAAGTCCCACACTTTCAATAAAGTGAAGTCAGGCCATCAGAGAATTGAAAATGGCCATTCAATAAGTTGCCAGAGGAAAACCCTGTTTAGCAGCAAGTCAGATGATTCAGTCAATTATTGCACAAACATCACTTCACAGAAGCATTCATGATCACTACCGGCATATTTTTAACTGTCTCAAAACATTCCCAATTAGCACATATGGCGCATATTCTTGTTCATATTCAAAAATTTAGTACTCACAGTGTGAAATGGCACATTATCTTTGCCCATAAACTGATACAACTCCACATTTTCTGGATTCTTCCACCACTTCTCCCACTCATGCGTGTAGCACGAAGTGATTGATACATATCCGATAGGTGCATCAAACCACACATAGAAAACCTAACCACAAAACCCATCAAAGTTTCAAACAGTTTGAAAAAACATGATCATTTTGCAAAAATTAGGGAAATAGTAAAAGGTAGTTCAGCATGCTTACTATTTGATAACCCGGAGCAAAACTCATTTAAAGCAAACATATGGACTAATACAGGCAATAAATATTACACTAAAAGGTATTTGTCTCAACTTTTACACTAAAATGCAATTATTACACTAACCTTGTCTTCAAATCTCTCAAGTGGAACAGGAACCCCCCATTTCAAGTCTCTGGTAATACATCTTGGTTTCAATCCTTCTTTAAGCCATGAAAACGTTGTTTGAACTGCATTCTGACTCCATCCTCCGGCCACTGACATGCTGTTGATATACTCCTCTAACTTATCCTTCAGTAAAGGTAGCTCAAGAAACAAGTGGTTCGTATCACGGATGCGTGGAGTAGACCGACAAACCTGGGTACAGAGCACTATCAAATATTAGTTCAAATATTTTGAATTTAGAAATTAAATTCTATTTTCCAAATCCATTCATTGCATTTTCACTGAAGAAGAATATAAGAAATGAATTACTCTATAGTTCATTTTTAAATATTTTTTCTTTCAAGTGAACAAATCACTCTTCATCGCATTGCAAACAGGTAACCGTCTCCCAGTAAAAACAAGCCTTAGGCAACGTAATGCAGATTCATTTTCACCAGAATGCAGAATCTCAATTAATTTAACTGTTATAGCATTTACAATAATCCCCAAGTAACAAGAATAGTAAAGTGGAACATATATACACACCTTGCATCTAGGATCCAGTAGTTCTGTGGGGTTTAAAAGTTTCCCGCAGTTTTCACATTGATCTCCTCTTGCAGAATCATAATTACAACCTGGAGTGGGGCAGTTACCCTCCACATGTCGGTCAGCTAAAAACCTTTCGCATGTATCACAGTAAAGCTGCATCATAAAAAAAAAAAAAAAACCCAGTTGATTAAAGTCTCAAATAGAGTAAATGGTGGAATAGTGACTCAAGCTGACGCACTTACCTAATCCGGCCTTTGAAAAACAAAAACGATAGCAATGAGATATTCAAATCACCTTTCTGAGAAGTCAAGTTAATATCGAAGCAATGCATACCTGCTGCATCGTGTTCTCAGAAAGCCAATTGTTCTCCATTAGTTTCTTAAAAATTGCTTGGCAAACTTCAGTCTGCTGCGGAGTTGATGTGCGCCCAAATTCATCAAAACTTATATTGAACCATTGATACACCTCCTTGTGGATTGCATGATATCTGTGCATGGTAACAGAAATTAAATTTTGCATTTTTTGTTTGGCAGACGTGAGAATCACCTGTCTATACGGCACATTGTTTTCAAATCTTCATGGAGAAAATTTAAAATGGGCAAGTTCTTAATATAGCATTT